AACTCTAAGATGTATTAAGAAAAAAGTGTGCATGTACGCTACCATTTGCGAGAGGAGCTATGTCTTGTTCAGGTGCAGAGGGCTCTCAAGGGATACGTAAGAGACTGGAGAAGGAAAAGAAGCAAGAATGAGGATTATCGCTCACGTGCACATGCCTGCATCACCAAAATGTAAATTTAAGATTTGAAGAAAATTCAAGGCAAAAACATTGAAAAGGGAGAGATGTCATTGATAAAAGAAACAAATCATCAAAACATATGAAGCTGTTTCTGACTAACAAACAAAATGAAAAGAAACTCTTAAAAGCACCAGAGATGAAAGAGACATTATCCTCCAAGGGGCAACAATGAAACTTAACTGCTGACTTCCCAAAGGAAACAACGGAAGCCACAAGATGATGGAGTGACATTTGACCTAGAATTCTATATCCTTTCAAGATAAAGATGAAATGAAGATGTTTCTGGATAAACAGAAGCTGAGAGAATTCATCAGTGCACTAAATGAAATGCTAATGAGAATCCTTCAGGCTTACGGAAAACAATCCCAGAAGGAACCGTGGGAAGAAAGGAGTAACTACAAGGGGTAATTATGAAGGTAAATGCTAATAAATGTTGACTATCATAAGCAACAACAACACATACCCGGGCTCGCATCTCAGAAATGCGCTGACTAGCTGTGTCATAGGCAGGTCAGCTTAACTTAGATGTTGTTTCTTCGTCTGTTGATGGGGATTCTGACAGAGGTGCCCACTTCATCAGGTGGTTATTAAGAGTCCGCGAGACCATTCTTAGCACAGCGCCTGGCCTGTAGCAAGCCCTATGGTATTTTTAACACGTAAGTAATCCTTTCACTGTATCGTGGGGTTCTAGGCCCTGTGGGAACCACGCTAGACCCTCTTTCACTCTGTGTCCCTACTTTAGGAGCTCAGATCAGAGACTGTCCCAAAAGACCTGCAGTGCCTTTCTCTGTTAGGAAAGACATGGGCAGGGGGGCCATGACCCTGGCGTTGGAAATGGAATTTTTGGCTACTGACCAGGAGAGAGGAACCACTCCTGAGCACCCTGGTGTGGCCGCCTGTCTCCCCAGCTGCCGACTGACCAAAGTGATCTTAATTAATTAGCTGCAGCTACTGTAGGCTGGGTGGCCAGAGGGTACGGACCTGCAATGTTGACCACTCAGGAATAGAACTTCTGCTCCTCTGGTGGGACCAGAGCCCAAAGAGTGGACAGAGCTGCTTAAATTGGGCCTGTGAGAGCTTTGTCTCCTCGGGGTTCACTCAGCTCTGCCCCAGAGTCCAGAGCAAACACCACCATGGACAAACTGGCAGATGGGCATCTTGGCTCCCGTCTTTGTCCACATTTTTCTATCTAGCTTTCTATCATCCACCCACCCATCCATCCATCACCCACCCACCCATCCACCCATTCACCCATCTACCCACTCACCCATTCACCCTTCCATCCATCTACCCATTCATCCTCCCACCCACTCACCCATCCGCCCATCTACTCACTCACCCATCCACTCATCTACCCATCCACCCATCCGTCCATCTACCCATTCACCCTTCCATCCATCTACCCACTTACCCATCCACCCATCTACCCATTCACCTATCCATCTATCTACCCATCCACCCATCCATCATCTACCCACTTACCCATCCATCCATCCATCCCCCTACCCACTTAACCACTACCCTTCCATCCATCTACCCACTCACCCATCCATCTACCCATTCACCCTTCCACCCATCTACCCACTCACCCACTCACCCTTCCAGCCATCCTTCCTTCCACCCACCCACCCACCCATCCTGTGAAGTCAGGTTTGCTTTTCAACCCAAACTTTGCTGCCCACTTCCAAAGAAAGAACATACCACTGAAAGCAGGACCTGAGACTGAATTCTCTGCCATCTCACCCCTCTCGGATTTCTGGTGGCACCACTTCTGTTCTTCCAGGAGACCAACCTTGCTCACTCCCCGTCCTCACTCCTGCTGCCCACGAGGCTTGGTCCCAACAGTCTCTCCCCTTCCTAGTGGTCGCTCTGGGACAGGGAGAGGGTCAAGGGGCCCCACAGCACTTTGTGCTCCCCCACCAACTCCACAACAGAAGGAACCAAGTGGACACACAAGGCTCTACACAAGTCTGCTTTCCCATCTGACTTTATTTCATTTTTTTTCTATAAAACTCCTCCATAATTTCACAATTTAACAAAAAGTTTAAAATCCAGGACAGAAACAATCCTGTAACTTATTACAAACACAATCCTCCTTATTCCTTTTACCCAGGAGTTGGTCTCGGGCTGATGAGTGTCCTAGTTCCTAGTGAGACACACTCTTCGTAAAAACCCTTGTGGGTAAGAAAGGTATTCGATACCTTCTGCTTTCAGGCGTCGGTTTACATTTTGTTCAGGAGAGAGCAAAACACAGGGATTTGCACTGGGGGCAGGGGGCTTAACACTAAACACGCGGAATCACAAAGTGCCGGCCCCTTCCTATGGAAGTGTCCCCAGAGCCCTCGGGGGCCCGGCTGCCGGGCAGCTGGGGGTCGGGTCGGGGAGCAGCCGGGAATGCTGCGGTCGGGGCCCTGGCCGCCTGGCATGTCCATCAGGTGGTCACGGGCCAGCTCTGGGCCCAGGGCAGCTCCAGAGGACAGCGCTGGCGCCTTCAGGCCAGAGGAGGTAACTGAGAAACAGGTTGGCGCTTCCGAAGGCCCTGGGAACAGCAGGAAGGGCCACAGGCTGCTGCCGCTGGGGGCAGATGGGAGAGCCCAGCTTCCTCCAGCTGGCCCTGGGGAGAGCCCACGTCACTGCAGAGCTCGGGGGGGCCGGCGGCCCTTCCCAGGAGATCCTTGTGAAGGAAGAAGACCAGCGTCCTTGGGCTGGGACTCCCGCCTGAGACCCCTGGCGGCTGCTGTGCACAGAGCACCAGGGAGCTGCTGCCTTCTGAGCAGCCCGCACCAGGCCAGTTCCTTCCATCAATGTCTTAGAGAGTTTCCAGAGAAGAAAGATGCCCCACTTTGGAGTATTGTTGGCCTGCCTGGGGAAGGGGACACTGACAGCACGGAGCCTGCCACACAGGCCTGCCCTCTTCCTAATACCTCAAGGCAGTGGGGCTGGGAGAGAATCAGAGCAGATGGCGAGGAGTCACGGCGCTTTCCTCTGAAAGGTCCCGGGCCTTCCAGAGAGTTCTGGGAATCTCACCAGGAAGGCTGGAGTCCGGGGAAGCCCTGGAGGCGGGGCTCCCCCAGGGAGTGTGCAGAGTCTGCCTGACAGACGGAACCGGAGCAGGGACACAAGAGTCAAGGGTCACAGGGCAGGGAAGCGTGGTGTTCCCCACGTCAGAAGTCACGAGCTAGGGGGGAAGAGAGGGGGTTGACACTGGACTAGAGAGGTGAGCCCACCTCTGGACCCCTAGTCCTTTTTCCCATCTTGTTCAGGGCAACAGTCGGGGGTGACTGGAGGAGTCCTGAGTCGAGGTCTGGGGGAACAGAGGCTGAGCATCAGGCTCCAGCCCCCACGAGCCCCAACCATGGGCCGACTCCGTGAGGGCATTCCGGCCCTGGAAGGTGGGCCAGAGGGATGACGAAGCGGCCTGGCCCTTGGAGAATTTCAGGCGTGCGAGGAGTTGAGTCTCCGGGCTCTGGACCGACATGAATGGCAGGGGTGGGAGGGTTGGGCCCAAATGAGAAAGAGATGGGTGGGCCTGCGAGGGCCCAGCCAGACAATCGAGCTGGCTCTGAGCACTGATGCTCCTCAAAAAACTCCACAAACTCGCCCCCCTTATTTGGCAAAAGCTCATTTTTTTCAAAGTTCGAAGACTCGATTAACAGAAGAGAGGAAAGAGAATCCTATGGAAGGAGGAAGAAGACGAACCCCGGGGCGCAGACACAAAACGCGGCCTGTGCCTGGCTGGAGCCTGGGAGGTCTGTGCCTGGAGACGGCCACCCAGGAGCTCGGAGATCCGGGTGCCGAGGACCTGCTGCCCCCGCGTAGTGTTCACTGGCGGATGAGGCGCCCTTGGAACCACAGAGGGAGGAGTCCTCCCTGAGCCTGGAGAGGGCCAGCCAGGGCTCCGGCTCAGCCTCCAGCCCGAGGACATGACCAGTGAAGACGTCTTTACCTACAAGTCCCGCCTTACTCACCCCCCACCCGCCACGTGCACTGCTGCCACGGAAACACACACCCGGACACCGCTCTGGTACCTACAGTGCATACATACATATATAATAGAGAGAGAACTGTACAGCACGCAGTCCCAGCACAGGGAGAGCCGGCAGAGCACTGCGACCAGCTGCCACGGGGGACGGGCCGAGGCCCAGCCTGGCACAGCTGGCTGCACACACACAGCTGGAGCCCTCTGAGGTCCTGGGGCAGCAGTGGGTGTATTCTGAACCGTTTGGGGAGGCTGGAGGCTGTGCCCCGGCTGCTCAGCGAGGCCAGGGCAGTGAAACTATGCCACACACCCACCATGGAGCGGGATCCTGAGGCCGGGCGAGGCCCCCACCGCCAGGCATGTTTCTGCCCCCTCGGGAGTGAGGCCCGGCGCTGCCTTCAACACAAGCCACTTTCCAAGAGGGGCCCAGGGGACGGCCCCTGAGTATCGGGGAGCAGCAGCGCCGGCCCGGGCCCCCTCAGCCCTAGGGCTCCCGACGAGGTGGTGGGGAGGGTGGGCCGGGAGCCGACGAGGAAAGTGCAGCTGGCCGTGTGGGCCGAGGATAGGGCGGTCACTAAGGCAGTGCTGCGGGCGGGCGAGTCGAGAGAGGAAGGAAGGCGGGGCCTGGACGTGGCCTCCCGGAACCCCGGCGACAGGGGCCCGGCGCCCGGCCCCGGGTCATGTGGCCACCGCCTCCAGGTAGCTCTGCAGCTTGCGCACGGTGGTCTCGTCCAGGGAGAAGAGATCAAAGTCAAAGGTGGTGTTGGTGACGTTGAAGTGGCCGGTCTCCTCGATCAGGTTCACGATCTGGAGTGGGTGGCAGGGCAGCTTCAGGGGACGGGAGGCGGGCTGGGGTGGCCCCATCCCCCGCAGGCCTCAGGGCCCCCCTCGCCCCCCCCCGGGTCTCATCTGAGACCACCGCATTCTCAGCAGGACGCCGAGGGCTCCGCCCATACCTGCTGCAGCACGTTGCGCTCCCGCAGGGCCATGAGCCTCCGGTGCAGCTCCACCAGCTCGTCCGTGTAGGCCTGCGGGTGGCAGGGGGGCTCAGCGCAGGGCGGGCCGCCTCAGCCCCTCTGACTGCCCAGCCCTATGGGCTGCCCGTGGTCCCGCCCACCTCAGCTCGCGGGCCCAGGACGGAGGAGGGCCTGAGGCGCAGGGGCCAGCACCTCAGCACACCTGGGCCTGGCAGCTGCTCCGAGCAGCCTGCCCAGTTCTGGGGGGCCCCAGGGTGTCCTCCCACTGCCTGCCCCGCCCAAGCCCCGCCACCTTGTCGTAGGTGCCCCTCTTCAGGATCTTCTCGGGCTTGCTGCCGGACTCCGGGCTCCTCCGGCCTGAGGCCTGCAGGGCAAACCCAGGTCTGCTCTGAGCTCTCCCCCACACCCTCTCCCCCAGCCCGCCGGAGGCTCTCTGACCCCCCAGAGCAGCTGCTGACTGTTCAGGGCCAGCCTGGGGCCCCGGGGCCTGCTCGTCCTCCCTTCCCTGGCCCGACTCTAAGGGCAGCCCACCCTGGGGAGCAGACACACCACTGAGGCCTGGGGGTGAAGTGAGCCTCTCTCTGCGCCCACCACCCTCAGCCTCAGACCCTCGGAGAACCCTCAGCCCTGCCTCCAGGACATGGAGGGTAGAGACCTGATCACCCTGGAGACCCCCCCGCCCACGGCAGGAACCCCGAGCAGCCCTCAGGCTCACCTTACTGTTGGGTGGGGGCGGCTTCTTGGGGGGAGGCGGCTCGCGGCTGGGCAGGCAGGAGTCGGCACTGTTGTCGCTCTCGCTGTCACTGAAGCTCAACCTGGATGCAGGACACAACGCCCTGTCAGGCCTCTGCCACCCCCCTGCTCCAGGGACCCGTGCCCTGGAACAGACTCGCCCGACAACGCCCGGCCCCTCCCTGAGGGCCACACATGCCCAGCGTCCTGGTTCTGTTCCCCCAGACCTCGGGAGAACAACTCGCTTAGCTCTACTGGTGACTTAAAGAAAGGAAGGATGCGTCTGCACCACCTTCGGGGGCAAAGAACGCAAAGAGCAGCATGCGGGTCCTCGGAGAGGCTCTGCGGGGGCCTGCGGGCTCCCATCACCCCTGGGAGGGCTCTCGGGGCCAGAACAGCAGGGCGTGAGGCCCCCACAGGCCAGCCGGGGGTGTGCTGGGTCTTGCTCCCTTAAGTGGGCTCTGCTGTTCACTCTGTGCAGGAGAGCTGCCTGCAGGGGTCACTCAGTGGGCAACAGCAGTTTCCACCCAAGCCTGACGCACCGGACAGCAGGCTTCCATTGGTGACGCTGGGCGCCCCACTCCATCTGGGCGGGGCCTGAGCGGGTGTGTCTGGTGGTGGCTCAGTGGCAAACGCCCTGGCGGGCAGGGCCCTGGACAGGTCCTCAACCTCTGCCTCCATTTCCTGAGCCTCCCGGAGAAGTGCACAGGGGAGGGGCTGACTCACAGGGACAGACATCCACTGCTGTCTCGGCAGGAAGGGCGTGGTCACTCAACGTGTAAAGTCCCCAGCTAGCCTGCGTGGGAGACCTCCCCTCTACAGCCCCAGTGCTCGCCTTCTCAGTCTGGATCTAGTGGCCTGCTCCTTGCAGCTTCTTCCACAATCTCCCGAAGCACAGCGAGGGGGTGGGGGGGAGCAGATGCCCCTCCAGCCTCCCCCCTGCTCCTCTGGGGGCCGGCCGCAGGCAACACGCTCGGGGAGAGTCCCTGTCTGGAGCCCCGACGACTGTCCTCTCACAACACACGCACAGCAGGGTGAAACCCGCCTGCGCCTCTCCTCCTCGCTGTGAAGGCAGGGCCAGGAAGCGCTGGGCCAGAGCCCGGGCCCCTGGGGGCTCCTGTCTTATGCCCCGAGGTCAAGGGTGTCTGGCCCCCAGGTGACCTTCTGCCGTGATAAGCACGAGGCTCCGGGGCCCCTGCTCCCTGAGGCTGAGGCTCTCTCCCCGACTTCCCCGCCGCGGATCACTCCAGGGGCAAAGGCAGGCGGTCCGGCTCCTCGTTGCCCAGGCGACACAACTGCGCCAGGCGGGCCCAGGCGTGGCCTCGCCGCCCCGCGCACCCCTCACTTCCCCCTCTTCCCCGGGCTCAGCAGGCAGCAGCTGGGGGACAGTGGGGGCCACGCCAGACTCGGCCTCCCCAGGGAGCAGACCAGGAGGGGCTCTGCCAGCTTGCCCTGAGCAGCCGCAGTGCCAACGTCAGGGCCGGTGGCCTCCCCTGACAAGGGACGCGGCGCCCCAGAAGGCCCCACCCGGGGCAGAGAACACGCAAGGGGCTTCTGTGCCTTTGTCCCTGGGTCGCTGTGGGAGCCCCGAGAGAACAGGACCACATCTGTGAGCCCTCTCAGCTCCCTGCTCCTGGTGTCCAGGCAGGAGCCCACCCTGAATGTCGCCAGCACCAAATGGGGCAGGAGCCACTGCCTGGGGAGCCTGTGCTCCCCTCTACACCCACAGAGCGCTGGCGTGTGCCAAAGAGGCCCATGAGGGGCTCTCTCTCATGGCTGGCGGGAGCTCTCGGGATGGCACGTTTGTTTCATCAGCAACACTAGCACAGGATGCCCGAGAGCACCCGTTAGGCTTCCCGCCGACCAGCCTGTCTTCCAGAGGAGCAGCTGAGGCCCGGAGGTCCTGGCCTCATGGAGAGGAGGGGTGGATTCAGATGGGGTCGCTGACTCCCACGTCTGCCCACTCCTCGGGGCCCAGGACCAAGGTCGACACTTGCTCCGGCCTAGAGGTTGAGAACGCACAGCTAGCCCTGAGGGGGACCCACTCTGAGGGTCTAGGGGTGTCTGAAGGGGGCACGTCGGCTCCCGCTGCTCTGGGGAAAGGCCAGGCTTTGCCTTCCCCAGGCCAGTGGGCAGCCACTGCTGCTCCCCACTCCGGGGTGTCTGCGGGTCACTGGACACTTTTCAGAGTCTGTCCTCACCCCAGGCCATGCATGTGGCGAAAGGGGAAAAGGTCCCCTGGCCTGAGAGCAGGGGAACCAGGCCCCCTGCCACACTCCTCGGACCAAGACTGGCCCTTGGGCTGCTGGGCGCTGCCTGGCCCCCTCCTCGGATGGTGACCGGGCTTCTTTCCCTGAACACCCCGCCTCTCCCCACACCCTCCAGCGATGGGAGGCCGGCCGCCACCCAAGGCCCCTCGGCCTCACCAACGGGAGAGAACTCGCGGTCCCCAGGCCCACTTCAACGCCCAGGTGGGGCGCCATCCCCCCAGGGGACACTGCTGCACGGCCTCCCCTCCTCGAGGCCCCAGAAATCACAGCAGAGCCGCCCTGACTCGCCCCCCACACCCGGCTCGCCCTCCAGCGGCCCAGGCACCTGGAATCCCTTCCTGCATTTGTCTTGACGGCAGCCTCCTCGCCTGACGAAGAGTCATCCTCGTCAGATTCCTCGGACTGCAGGTCCTCCACCATGGAGCGCAGGGGTCCTGGGAGGGTGGCGAGGGAGGGGAAGAGAAGGGGGTGAGGGCTCCGCCTTGCACCTTACGGGGTCCTCTCCACACCCAGGGCCACATGGAACTTCTTGACACCATGACCCCCTAAAACACACCCACGTAAATCCGCCTTGGAGGTCCCTCTGCCAGGTGGGGCCTGCCACCCATCCCCAAGAACTGCCCCCGCAGCCAGCCCCTTCCTACGGACCCTCTGGCTCCCCCTGCCACCAATACCGTCCTGGCCCTGCTCGCAGGCCTCTGGTCCCTGGCCCCCGGCAGGACCACAAGGCCCCTCCATTGCCAAAGCCAGACAAGCAGCCCTCCTCTGCTGCGGGTGCTGAGATCACAGCCTCCGCCGGGAGCCGGGACGAGCCAGCCGTGGCTGGCGAGGGTGAGGAGGCCAGAGCTGGGGCCACAAAATCCCGCAACCAGCCTGCGCCCCTACTCGGGCCTGCCCAGCCCCTCGGCAACCCGCTCCGCTGCTCCTGGCCCCCTGTCCTCCCCTTTCTCTAGAGGCACACGATTCCAGTCCCCTACAGACGGCATCTTGGTTTATATTCCTGTTACCAAGGCAACAGAGGGACACAAAGCCCTCAATTACCTTGGTCACATGATCCCGCTTCGGCAGGTTCCCCCGCCCCTCCCCGTAGATAAGAACCCTTGCAGAGAGTGTGGGCTTCGAGCACCCCCCACCCCCCTCCCAGCCCCCCTCGGCAACTGCACGGCTGAATTCCAGGCCAGACCCCGCCACAATACGCTCCCCTCCCCCAGCTCTCCCCAAGCCTCAAAAAAGGACTCCAGGCCGTGGGGGGAAGCGACTTGTGTCCAATCCACCCGCAGAAATACTTCCAGTGTGGGGGGTGCCGAGGATGGTGTCTGTCATGGACAGGGCCTGAACAGAAAGGGGCCCTTCTCTACCGACCCACAAGTGCCAGCTCCTCACCAGCACAGCTCAAAGTTCCTGTCACACACACAGGGCGTATCTGAGGGCCCAGGGACGGACACCAGGGACACCAAAGACCACCAGAGGGAGCAGCACTTCCCACACCTGGCCTCCGGTCAGGTGACCTGTTTCTGTTTTGCTCTTTAACACAGAGTCCCTGTGCTTCCACAAACCTACCAACAGGATCTCTCGGGCCCAGTGTGGGAAAGAAACCCTATACTGAAAAACGCCCAGGCCAAGTTCAACCTCGGCGCAAGTACCCCAGTGCACCGCCTCCCCCATGGCTCTAGGTGCTCCCCCAAACCCCTCCCCATGGCTCTAGGCCCTCCCCATCACCCTAGGCCCTCCCCCAAATCCCTCCCCATGGCTCTAGGCCCTCCCCCAAATCCCTCCCCATGGCTCTAGGCCCTCCCCCAAACCGCTCCCCCATCACTCTGGGCCCTCCCCCAAACCCCTCCCCCATCACTCTGGGCCCTCCCCC